GGCTGTGTTCTCTGTTCAAGCACCACTGTAAGCAAGGCTGTTGGCTGGGCTACACAGCTTCCCTTGTGCTCTTGTTAGGTTCCCTGGTCAGGCAGGCTAGAGGTTTTATTCAGCAATTAATGGGGCTACAAATTAATTTCCCTCCTGGGGCACAGTGGGAGAAGCAGCTCTAAAGCTGGTAAAGCTCTTTGTTTGTTGTTTTAACTCAAGCCTACCCAGTGCCCAAGTTACCTGGCCAATCAAGTCCACTGGTTTTGCTTTGCAAACTCTTGGCTCTGCCCACCTGCCTCTCGGCTGGAGAGCTGCTGGGCCACACAGCTTCCAGGTGTTGTTGCCAGCCCTCTGGTCAGATGGGGTCCAGAAGCCACAGCAGGTGAGTGGAGGTATGTCTCAGCTCCCTTGCCTGGGCAGGAAGGGGAAGGGTTGTTCCAGGAAACTCTCAATTTCTCAAACAGGCTCTCTGGTTGGGAGGGGCCAGAAGCTACCCTCAGCCTTGGCTATGAATTAATCCCCCTGCCTATGTGTAACAGGGGAACACTCCACCCCCAGCACTGGCTTTGCTCTGGGGGCATCAGCTCTGCCATTCCACCTCTCAGCTGGAGTATTGCTAAGCTACATAGCTTCCAAGTGTTCCCACCAGTCCCTCTGGTCAGATGTGGCTGGGAGACACTTTTCACAGCAGGTGGGGCTGTGACTCATCCCCTTGCCTGGGTGTGTGCAAACCAGGCCCTAGGGCTGGCAAAACTCCTGGTTTGAGGATCTGAATAAAGCAGATCTGCATCCTGCTGAGTTCCCTAGTCAGAGTACACCACTGACTTGGTTCTGCAGATGAGCAAAGCCACTGGTTGGGATTGCTACTTGGGCACTGCAGCAGTGAACTCGCCCTGCCAAGATCCCTGTGCTGGTTGTTGCAAGCTCCTCCCCCCTTCTCCATCACATCAGATTCCTAGTGATTAAGCCCCACAGATTCCCCTGTAGTCCCCGTGGAGTGAGATCAGAGTAGCAACTCCCACAAAGTGACCCATAATGCTGGGGGTGTGTTGGTTGTCCCCCCTGGGTTCTTTTTTCCCACTAGAGGCACCAAAAGCTCAGGAAAACACCTCTCCACGTGGTACTGTGCTGGCCTGGGGGGAGGGACAATGTGGTCAAAGTGTAGCCACTTCTCTTACCCTTCTAGTGGGTCTGTCTTGGTCTCTGTGGTGCAGCACGGGTGCCTCAGCCTCCCCCCGTGTTCTAGGATTCTTTCAGAGGTCCTGTTCTTGAATAGTTGTTCTTGTTAGCAGGGAGCAAAATCAGGAATGACCTATGTGGCCATCTTGGTGTCGTCACTCTCCCAACTAAATATTTTTGTAATTGTTATAGAGTAATATATGTGTTTCTTCATTGCCACATCAAACAACAAAAATCTAATGGCATGTATAAGTATCATAAATTTTGACGTAGTGATGAGCATAAATGATATTACAAGATGTCTGAAACGTCTAATGTAATATAAAAATGTCTGTTTTTCTATTGGTGATGAAGTCATAGGTATTGCTAATACATCTTTTATTACCTACATTTACAGTTGGGTGCAATGCTAAATTTTGGAGGTTAGTGAACGTAAGAGATACATTTTTACTGTTCAAGGTAGCAGACTCTTGAATCTATCCGTAGACCCCTGGTTTCAGAACTTCAAGTTAAGAACCTTTGATATAGAAGTTTATGTTAAGTGATAAAAAAGAAAATGAAATTAGTAAGACAAGATAAATGAAAACATGTTAATATATATAAAAAGATAAAGTAGAAAAAGTAGAAAATTCTTTGCCATAGTTAAAATAAACAAACAGATCACATCCTGAGGACTATGGAAGACTTATTGTCTAAAAATTCATTTGCTTGATGCTGGATCACTTGGGATAAATGTGGAAAAGAGCCAAGACTTGGGACACTGCCCAGAAAGATCCCTTGAAAGACAGTGCCCATCCTTGGCAAAAAAAACTCAACTTTTTGCTCAGAGAAGTTTCCTTTCCCTGTCGTATTGTATAGAAGAAAGAGAATCTGGGCTGGCCCCATGGCTTAGCGGTTAAGTGCGCACGCTCCCCTACTGGCAGCCTAGGTTCGGATCCCAGGTGCACACCGACGCACCGCTTCTCTGGCCATGCTGAGGCCGCGTCCCACATACAGCAACTAGAAGGATGTGCAACTATGACATACAACTATCTACTGGGGCTTTGAGGAAAAAAATAAAAAGGAGGAGGATTGGCAATAGATGTTAGCTCAGAGCCAGTCTTCCTCAGGAAAAAGAGGAGGATTAGCATGGATGTTAGCTCAAGGCTGATCTTCCTCACAAAAGAAAAAGAAAAAGAAGAAGAAAGAGAATCTGAGTTCGTGTCTTGACTTTGAATTGGTGCAGAACAAAGACTCTGACCTTAGTTTCCCCATCTGCAAAATGGATAAGTAATGCTTTCATGCAATATCATAATTAAGTGAACTAAGGTGCAAGAAATCACAGTGTAAATTGAAAAGAACTATACAAATATCAACTGTTTCTCAAGGCACATCAACTGTGAGTGTGATGTATACCCAAGTTTCAGAACCATTGATATTTATAATCCTCTTTACAATCATGGGAATGCCAGAAATGTAAAATAACATCATAACATCAAATTTTGCTAGTTTTAGAGTAGAAACACATTTGACCTTTGACTGTAAAATTTCATTAAAATTTCAAACTCTTTTCTTAAGAAGTGTGACTTTTTTGTTCATAATATTCCTAATTTATACAAGTCAAGTAGGTTGTTCTATTTTTTAAATGAAATAACGGTCATATACTGTTTTGTATCCTTTAAGTACTAAGATCCATGAAGTAAAAAACAACTTTTAAAAAACAATGTTTATCTGTAGTCTATAATGAAATACATGATAAAGAACAAATAGTTGTTTAATTCACATTTTTTGTTATTCCAAATATTTGCATAATCTGATAACAGATATTTCCATAATCTGTTCATGCCCTTTCTAAAACGCTAAATAAGTTTGGCTTATTATATAATAGTAATTTCTATCTTTGTGTAAGTCACTTCGATAATAACTAGTTATAACTACTTTTTAAATCATGTTATAATAAAGTTTAGTGAATCCTTTCTACATATTGCCTTTAATTCTTAAACTTTATGAGGTAATTATCATTCTTTATGAAGTAGGTATTGTTATTCAGTTCAGAGAAGTAAAGTCACCTGCCCAAGATCAAACAGTTAATAATTGGAGGAGCCAAAATTTCAACTTCAGTGCTTTTTCACCATAAAATGTTAATTTATAATTGTGACTGAAGAAAAATTTACTGACGTCCTACTGTGGGTTTTAGGTGCTTTCCTAGCCCTTACCTTATTGGCCGCACAGGGACTAGGCATTATTAGCCCATTTTACAGATGCGCAAAATGAAGCTCTGAAACTTTAAGGGACTTGCCCAAATGAGTCACAGAATTCAAAACAGGCCCACTGTCTTCCCACTGTACCACACTGCCTAGTGAAAGGAGTTAGAAAGCTGATACTAAATCAGAAAAAAACTATAACTGCAATTTTATAGCATTTGGCAACATCATGAACCACGAGTGGAAGTGTGGGAAGAGAGAGTTATATATAAAAGAATATAACACACCTGAAGTTTTTCCTGATTATAAGAGAAACAATTGAGTCAAGTGACCTTAATATATTGAATCTGTGCTGCTCTCATTTTTCCTATGTGATTCTATGAAATGGATATTAAGCCCTTAACTCGGGCTGTTTTGCTTAATGCATATATGTTCAATTCAGCAACGTATATGGAACGTCCTTCTGAAAATGTTCACCTTTTTTCATATTGTGCTTGCAAATAGTGTTTCAGTTTATAAAATCTCTCAGACTGCTCTGAATTGTTTTTTAGATACTTCTTTGATATTTACGTAGATAGCATTTTTCCATTTCCTTAAAGTTAGTCATATGATTTAAAACAGCTTATTCTAAAGCACACAAAGATATCTGTTCAATTTATTAGGTTCAGAAAAAGTTTATTATTCTACTATATACTTAACGTTCATTCATTTAGCAAACACACATCGAGCACCAGCTGTGTGCCTGGAATGGCCCTAGGTACCGGAATACAGCATGGACCTTTGAGTGTGTTTTCATGAAAAAGAAAAGAAAGGAATTGTAAAAGATGCCTAGGGGGGTAAATCAAGTATAAATTTTTCTCAGTTATTTAAAATGGTTGAAAAATGAATTCAAACCAGATTCTCATTTGTTCTAAAGGTTGAAGATAATTTTGATTGGCATTAAAATGCAATTTTTGTAAAGTTATGTTTATAGCATCTATTTTAAGTATGACATCTGCAAGCTCTTCACTGAAACCTTCTACTCAGTAGGAATTTATTCACATGTCACATATAATTACTTCACTGGCTATGTGATTTCTTTTCTCATTTAAGTGGTAATTAAGTTTTTATCTAAGTGATTAATTAGAAGGCACGGAGTGTAAGGTGCTTTCTGACATACATGTTTCTTTCTTAAGGAACTCAGTTTTGAGTTTAGCCAGTCACCGGTTAGTTACAGAGCACAGGCAAAGTACCAGGAGTAGTGAGAGGTGCTAGACGAGATGATTAGGACGCAGAGTCACCCTCACAGAGCCTGTTTTAAAAAGGATGCTTACAATAAGTACAACGATAACCATAATACAAATGAGAATATCACAAGTGACCTAAAAAATACTCAAGCAAGGTATTGCATGATCTTGGAGGAAAGAAGAGATAAAACATTTTTTAAAATTTGATTTTCTGTAACAACTTCTGCTATAGTTGCTTATACTTTTTAAATTTTTAAATGAAAAAAAAATTAGGTAAGGGTAATATGTAGGAATATATTTACAGGAGAGCAAACATTACCAACACACTTTCCCCCACCATCCTTTGTCTTTGGTGTTCTAGTGTCTTCCAAACTAGTGGGTTTGCTCTTCTTATCTAACCTCTAAGCTTTTTACCTTACAGTGTGATGGGCAGTATATTCCTCTCCCCAGCCTGCAAGGAATAGCAGTGTTGAACATTCCCAGCTATGCCGGAGGCACTAACTTTTGGGGTGGAACTAAAGAGGATGATGTAAGTATTGCCCTGCTCTTTCCAGCTTCTAGAGGCTGCCCCCATTTCTTGGCTCATGGCCATTTCTCCATCTTCAAAGCCAACAGAGGCAGGCTGAGTCTTTCTCACATTGCATAGCTGATCTCTTCTGGCCCCCTCTTCCCCTTTTAATCACCTTTGTGATTACATTGGGCCCACCCTGGTCATCCAGAATAATCTCCCCATCTCAAGGTCCCTAATTTAATCATATCTGCAAAGTCTCTTTTGCCATGTAAGGTAGCATTCACAGGTTCCAGGATTAGGACATGGACATTTTTGAGGCAGGGAGGGGAGCATTATTCTGCCTACCAAAATACCTTTCTGTACTTTTAATTTTCTAAATTTATATGTATATTAGTTTTATCTTTAGAACGTCAAAAGGGCTCATTTGGCCATTAAGGTTTAAGACTATTTTTGTTTTCCTTTTATACTTTCCTAGATTAAAAAAGAAAAACAGGGGGCTGGCCCAGTGGCATAGTGGTTAAGTTCACACGCTTCGCTTCGGCGGCCCGGGCTTCATGAGTTTGGATCCCAGGCACAGACCTACACACCACTCATCACGCCATGCTGTGGTGGTGTCCCACATACAAAATAGAGGAAGACTGGCACAGAGGTTAGCTCAGCAACAATCTTCCTCAAGCAAAAAGAGGAAGATTGGCAACAGATGTTAGCTCAGGGCTAATTTTCCTCACCTAAAAAAAAAAAGAAAGAAAGAAAAACACAACCTAACAAATGTAATTGTTCTAAAAATAATAAAATAAAAGAGAGGACATAATTATTAAAGTAAATCTAACAATAAAAATGAGAAGTGTTATTATGATCTTTATTTGAAGAGTCACATACATTAATAGGCCCTTTGATTTGAGGCTTATGATATAGGATGGTTCCCAGTGACCCATTTTCTCAGGGCTCTTAAATGAGCAGGCAGGGATTAAAGTATAAAATAAATTGGAAATTATTTGTAATTTTCATGATATGAATATATTCCAATCCTATTGGAGTATAAAAACTTACATTAGCAGTTTTTTGTCAGCCTATCACTACTCTTAAATATTTTAAGGGTAAGAAATCAGTGAGATTAAGATAAAGCTAGCATTTCTTGAATACCTCCTAGGTAGTGAGACACTGTTCTGAGAGCTTCACATTCATAGTTTAGTACTCACAATTTTTATCTACATTTTACAAATACAGAAACTGACACAAAGTTTATCCAGTTAGTAAGTAGCAGAGACAGAGTTTAAAACCAGGCAGTCTGATAAAAAAATGATAAGAAATCATCAATGTTTGCAAATTTGTGTCTTGATATTTTCAGTGAAAGTTTTTTGTTTTGTTTTGTTTTTTGTGAGGAAGATTAGCCTTGAGCTAACATCTGTTGCCAATCCTCCTCTTTTTGCTGAGGAAGACTGGCCCCGGGCTAACATCCGTGCCCATCTTCCTCCACTTTATATGGGACGCCACCACTGCATGGCTTGACAAGCGGTGCGTCAGTGCGCGCCCGGGATCTGAACCCCAGGCCACCACAGCGAAGTGCACGCACTTAACCACTATGCCATCAGGCTGGCCCTGAAAGTTTTAATTAGGATACTAGTTTATACTGAATAATTTTTTCAGAGGTGTAATTGTTTATGATATAGTAAAAGAGACAAAGTAATACAGCTGAAATGTAAAATTTTAGGTTAAATTAATTTTGTGAAAATGCATTTAACATCAAAGCAAAGTAAGCCTATATGATTTTTGTCCGTTGAGGTTTCTGTTTCTATATTCTCACATGCCCTAAAAAGTTGTTGTGTTAAGATATAAAGCACATATGCATATTGCTTGTAACACCTTGAAAGGTTTCCCTTAGAACATACCAAGTGAACTGGAGCATCTTTGCATGTTCCATGAGCCTTATGAAATCCGTATCACCTTTTGAATGTTTTAGGTTTCCTAAAATTACACGCATCATTTTATCAAGACATGAGTTATGTATGAACAGGTATTTAATACATTTTATACCAAGATGAATTATTTGGAAATACAATAGTTCACTAGTTCTAATAGCCCCCCTCATGAGGGGCATGAGTATTATATCCATGTGGGTATTAAAACTATTTTTATTATGGTTGTTTATTTTAAGCTATCTTCAGTGATTTTTTTTAGTCCAGAGATTATCACTTCCTAATAATATTTACTTACTTTTCTACTTAATATTTTTCTAGATTTTTTAAAATATGTATGTTGCAGAGTTTACGTTGCTTGATGTGCTACTTCACTTAAACCTTAACTTTATTAGCGGAAGTGTAATGTAGCTTTTCCTTTCAGATATTTGCTGCACCATCATTTGATGACAAGATCCTGGAAGTCGTTGCAATATTTGACAGCATGCAAATGGCAGTTTCAAGGGTTATTAAGCTACAGCATCATCGAATAGCTCAGGTTTGTTTCTCTAATCAAATCTGACTTTATTACTTGGGCCACTGGGGAAGCATTTCCAGATGACTCCTACTCTGTATGTTCATCCATAAAATATTGACTTTCTTGTCATGTCAGTTGTTAATATGTCATCCTAAGTGGAAAAGCATAACATTCCATTCCACAGATTGGACTAAAAGTCAAGCTTGAGTGCAGATTGAGTGTCAGTTTCTCAGGATGATTTGTACTCTAAAATAACTTGTTTTGTTTCAGTGCCGTACAGTAAAAATCACTATATTTGGTGATGAGGGAGTCCCAGTGCAGGTGGATGGCGAAGCATGGGTTCAGCCTCCAGGGATTATCAAAATTGTGCACAAAAACAGAGCTCAGATGCTAACGAGGGACAGGGTAGGTAACAAAAAACATTCTTCTAGATTTTTATCAAGCCTTTCAAAAACAATCTTAAATTGTTATGAAAAATAGAAACCAAGGAAAAAGATTTAAATTCTCCCTTAAATCTGACGTTTAAGTCATTGTGGTTTTAAATATGAACAAATATTTATTTAGTTTTTAAAAAAATTAATAGTCTTTATTTTTTATTTTTTATATTTTTTAGGTTTAAAGAAAAAGTGAGCAGAAAATACAGAGAATTCTAATTCTGTTCCCACATACCTCCTCGCCTCCCCAATGAGCACATTAATTCCCCTATTATGTTCTCTTCACCATCTTGTATTAATGCGTACATTTATTGCAGTTGATGAGTAAATACTGATACATTATTATTAACTAAAGTTGTAGTTCATGTTACTCTTTGTGTTGTACATTCTATGGGTTTTGACAAATGTATAATCACTTGTATCCGCCATTACAGTATGACACAGAATAGTTTCACTGCCCTAAAAATTCCTTGTGCTCCGCCTATCTATCCCTCCCTCCCTTACCCCAACCCCTAGCAACCACTGATCTTTTTACTGTCTCCATAATTTTGCCTTTTCCAGAACATGTACTTTTTAAAAAATTTTTTTTATTTTTTAATTTTTTGTGAGGAAGATTAGCCCTGAGAGCTAACATCCGCGGCCAATCCTCCTCTTTCTGCCAAGGAAGATTGGCCCTGGGCTAACATCCATGCCCATCTTCCTCTACTTTCTATGGGACGCCACCACAGAATGGCTTGACAAGCAGTGCGTCAGTCCACACCCAGGATCCGAACCTGCGAACCCTAGGCCACTGAAGCGGAGCGTGCAAACTTAACCGCTACACCACCAGACCTGCCCCTAGAATATATACTTTTAATTAAGGTCACACTCATAGCAAATAAGACTGCCAATATTCCTCCTATCTGTTATACATGTAATAGTAGAGATTGAAGCATAAATTGAAGCTTTTTTTTTTAACTTTTCAGTGATATATTCATCATCATCAATTACATTACTTTTTACTTGTTGCAACGCACTGGAAAATGTTAAAATATCTTTTTTGTACTTACAATTTAGTTTTCTACTTACAAGTTATTAGATTAGGAAAAACAACAATAGCAGTTTGAAAGTCATTCACATAATATCTAAATACACATTTATTTGGGCCTCAGAGCTCTAACAATTCATTGCAATATTGATTTCAAATAGGCTTTTGAAAGCACTCTGAAATCTTGGGAAGATAAACAGAAGTGTGATTCTGGTAAACCAGTTCTTCGAACCCATCTGTACATCCAGCATGCCGTTGACTTGGCAACAGAGGAGGTGTCGCAGATGCAGCTCTGCTCCCAGGCTGCGGAGGAGCTCATTACCAGGTGTGGTGGTCCTGCTGGCTTTCGGGCTATGAGAACTCTGGTCTTGGCCAATTTTGTTTTTTTAATTTTAATGCCTCATCAGTTGTTTGGGGTATCTAAAGGACATACATTTACTGCCTTTCTTCATTTGCTGCCTCATTTATGCCTCAACAATTAGGGCTCTCCTTCACCAGATCCTCTCCAACCTTCACATACACACACCTGTGTTCTCTACAGAACAGATCTTAGACTTCCAGAAGCACAATGGAGAGCTTGCCTGACTTACCCTACCACACAGTACTCTTTCCCTTGTTGTTCATTTCCCCAGTTTGTACATAATCTTTACACTATGCCCCTCACTTATATATTGCCTTATAATTATTAATTAAATGTTTATGGAATGTAGAAAGAAATGTAAACATTAACCCTACTCCCAAGGAGAGTTGGAGGGTGGGCGGGAAGAGTCCAAGAATCAGTTTCTGACAGACTTATCAGAGAGATTGGGAGACCACACAAATTAATTTTAGTAGACAGAAAGGGAGGAGATAAAAAACACAAGTTCTATGAGTGTAAAACAGATGCAAGTCACTATGACCGGGAGTAAACTTCAGAGCGGAGGAGGGACCATAGACAAGTTTCTGATCTCCTCTTCCCCTAAATCTTACCTACCAGATGGGGATAATAAGGGCTACCCTACCAGGCCGCTGTGAAAGTTAAATGAGTAAAACACTTTACCACCATGGAAAGTACTCGTTAGCACGTCATATCTGGCATATTTAGTGTTGCCTGCTTGGTAGCTATTATTTCCTCCCACACCTTCATCTGGTCGCTGATAAAAATGTTGGAAAAAAAAAAAAGGCAGACAACGCTCAGTGATACTAGGGCTACTTACTGCTTCCCTCCCTCTTACTCACCATCTGCTCCCCTCTTATTCCTTAGTCTCCTCTTTAAATGTGTGTTAGATACCTAGAATGTACTAGATGTTAGAGGTATAAGAGAAAGGATTTACACTCCCTACTGCTGGAGACCAGCCTTCAGAATTAGAACTGCAAGATACTGGGTAACTCAGGAGAAAGGTAAGGGAAAATGAATATTTAGTCAACTAAATCCATATAACTGCCTTATTGTACATCTCAGCTTCTTATCTACAGAGATATTAGTTTTAGGGTAAACAGGTCTTTTTTAGATAGTACTACAAACAACTGGTATGAACTCCAATTTATAGGGCTTTTTTTTTTTTTGCTTTTTTTCCAGCTTTATCGAGGTATAATTAACAAATAAAAATTGTATATCTTTAAGGTGTACTCATGATGATTTGATATATGTATACATTGTAAAATGATTACCACAATCAAGTTAATTAATACATTATGGAAAAGAGTATGGAGGTTCCTCAAAAAATTAAAAATAGAACTATAGCATTTTCTTGAAACTAAAATATACCCCCTTGAAATATATTTCCTGTATTATCATCCTGTCAACCAACCAAATAACCTTATCAAAAAAAAACGAAGTGAAAGTTGGCCAGACTTTCTTTTGGTCAACCTAATCTTGTACCACATCTGTTTTTTTTTTTAATTTTTCAAAAGATGAAGATCAGTCTCACTCATTAGTTTTCAGAATTTATTCAATCAGTATTCAACAGATAATTTTGAGCCTCTTCTATGTGCCAACCACCATATTAGGCGCTGGGGGTGCTAAGATGAGTACATTGCTGTCCCTCTTCTGAATTTGCTGGCAAAGTAGTAGGAGGGAGAAGTATGGTCGAAGTACTGTCACAGGTCACACAGTGGGTACTGTGGACACACAGAGGAGACCAGAGGCAGTGAGGGAGGGCTGCCTGGATAGGGTGACCTCTCAGCCAAGTCTTTAGGGAAGAGTAAAAGTAGAAGCAATCTAACCATGGGAACCAGCCTGGGCAAAGGCCCAGAGGAATGTGAGTACATAGTACTTTCAGGAAATCTCGGGGAGTTTAGGGTGACTGAAATGTTGGCATGGTATTTTTGAGAGTGTGGGAAATGTGGACAGAGAGGTGGGGAGGCCAGGTCTTCATCAGGGTGTTTCTAGAAGCAATGTGGAGCATTGTCTGCAGGACAGCAAAGCTGGGGCAGGGTAAACACTGTTGGAACGATCCTAATAGGAAATGATGGATGGAGGCAGTAGAGATGGAAAGAAGAAGAGAGATTTAAGATAGGTTAGGATCTAAAATTGATATATGGCCATGATTTAGGAGACAGGATGACCCTATGGTTTCTAGTGAATGGCTGGATGGATTTTGGTGCCTTTGATGGAGCCATAGGATTCATGGAGAGGAACAGATTTGGAGAGGGAAAATGATGGGTTCCATGTTGGATTAAAGAATTTTGATTATGTTAGAGATATCTAGGAGGAGATTCACTTGGCAGTTGGAAATGATTTAAAGTTGATTTATCTCTTTCTTTTTCTTTGAAAATTAGAATAACATTTACCCATCTCCATTCTTATGATAAATAACGCATTCTTCATGATTTCTCAAGGTTATTGGTAAGAATGCTGAGATGACATTTGGAAGTTCTTTGTGCCTTGGCTATCAATTGTGTGATCCTTAAGAATTAAACTCTTTTCCTTTACTCTTGATTAAACTACATAGGGCTTCTGTCTCTTCCCTCGTTCTACCCTTTCCACATTGAGGATCATTCCCCTTGAAGACGTCAGAAGCAAAAAGGATTTGAATCATCTTGCCTTCTTGCTCATCTGCAAACCTTACATCATTTTCTAGCAATTCTCCTTTCTCTTCTAGTGCCCTCCAGGATTTTGTCTTTCTAGGACTATTCTTAAGATTCCTTTCTTTTCTTTTTTTTGTAGTTATTTATTTTCCCCCCCAAAGCCCCAGTAGATAGTTGTACGTCATAGTTGCACATCCTTCTAGTTGCTGTATGTGGGACGTGGCCTCAGCGTGGCGGGAGAAGCGGTGCGTCGGTGCACGCCCGGGATCCGAACCCCGGGCCGCCAGCAGCGGAGCACGCGCACTTAACCGCTAAGCCACGGGGCCGGCCCTTTCTAGGACTATTCTTGAAGGCTTAGGTTCCAGAGGACTGTGGTACAACAGGCTTTGGAGTTGGATAGACATAGATCCAAATCCTGGCTCTATCATTTACTAGCTTTGTATACATACTAAATCTCTCTGAGCCTCAATGTGTTCACCTATAAAGTGGAGAAAATTAATCACAGCTACCTTTTAAGATTGTGAATATTAAATTAGGTAGTGAATATACAGCATTTAGCATATAGATGATAAGTATGACAGTGCTCTTCCCCTAAAATGTTGTATTTGTTCCTGGTTGAAATTTCAGTGAATTAAAGGTAAGTTTCTACTCTTTACATTTGGGACCCCACTCACTTTGCAATGATACCACAGAATGAAATGTTATTATATTTTTTTTCTTCCAAATAGCACCTCAATATGTTTATCTCTGATTCTAAGCCTAACTCTTTCTATAAAGATTTTTGGTTTAGTGTTCTTTGTTGCAATGGGGTTTGAATTTTGTAAATCTACCCTGTGCCATTCATAATTGAGCAGTCATTTAAGAAAAAAAAATTTCCTTAATGACCTTTATTTTATTTGTTTTATTCTACCACTGCTACACTTTAGAAAAATCAGTAATACTCAGAAAGGTTTTTTTGTTCATTTGTTTCGTTTTTGCTTTCAGGATTTGTGACGCAGCCACGATCCACTGTCTTTTGGAGCAAGAACTGGCCCACGCTGTGAATGCATGCTCCCACGCACTGAATAAAGCCAACCCGCGGTTCCCAGAGGTGAGGAGCTAATGGTAAATTCTCATTCCACAGAATTTTTTGCTGTTACACGTATGTTTTGATACTGTAAGATGTGCCGCGCCCTTTGAAAGAATGTTACACAGTCTGTATGAGTCGAGTAGCTGCCAGAAGCTTATGGTAAATTTGTGGCCAGATGTTTCTTTTCCTGCCATTTTACCATTCCTGCTCTTCAATTCTCTTCATTTTTTTCTATTTCATTTTCAGTCACTTGTCACCTTGCCATCTTCTTTCTGCTCCTTAACCACAACCATTCCTCCTTATTCCTTCTTTTGTCTTCTCCCCTGTACCTTGATATAGGTATCATGCATTTATTAAAGATGTTCATTCATTTTTGAAGTCATATACTAAAATTATTCTTACTTCATTTTGTTTCACTAAATTGGTAAATTTTGTGAATTTTTTAATGTAGAAGTTCAACTTTTATAACTTCTGTAAATTTTTTGATGTAGAAGTTAATAGAATGGATAGAATGTAACTCTCTTGAAATGTGATGCATGGTACAAGGCTTATAGTATAGAGAAAACTGATAGCATTGTTTTATTCTTAGTTATTCAATTGAAGTTGACTAAATTAATATACAAATAACTGCTAGTCCTCAAGACTAAAGTCTAAGAAACAATCTGGTTGGAACTTCTGAGAGTGAACATCAGTGGATAGAACTATCTATATCAGCTAATATCCCTTTTAAGACATAATTTTCTTTGACTGAACTTTTTTATGGGAATGTGCATATGTTGTTGCCACCATATACATGTTTGTGTGAAGGAGATGTGGTCCTGAGTGTATTTCATAGCCAGGGATTCTTTTGGTTCTGTGATGTAAGAATTAGAAGAGATAATCATGCTAACAAATGTGACTATGAAATTTTGCAATTATAATAGAATTTTGGTAGATTTAAAAAATATTTGTGGTGTGAATTTAAATTGGAAGAATAAAATGTAAAGTATTTGCTGATGACTGAATCCCAATTTAATACAGAACTACTTGTCTTTAATGTTGTTGTTTTTTTTCTAGAGTCTTACGAGAGACACTGCCACTGAAATAGCCATCAATGTGAAGGCACTATATAATGAAACAGAATCTTTACTAGTTGGCAGGGTTCCTTTGGTAAGGAAAAGAAATGCTTGATAACATAAGAATGATGATAAATGTATGGGCCTTACCTTCATTAGGGAGCATGCAATCATCAGATTCTAATGCAGAAGCAGCTTCTGGCCTCCAGCCTTAGAGCTTCCTTTTAACCTGCTTTTGCCTTCAAGAAAATATATGACTGAACCTGGGAGTTGTGATTCAGGCTAACAGGAGTAGAGATCCCCCTCACATTTGCCATCATGTTTCTATGCAATCCTGCTCTCCCCAGTTTTGAGAGACTTGAGCTTTATAAAGTGTGGTAGACGTTCCTCAGGTACTCGTTAACTCATTATGACAGCAAAGTAGAGGAAATTGTTCTCAGAATTAACATTTGAGATATGGTTGGTATGATTCTCTAGATTTGCTTAAAAGATGACACTTTCTAGAATCAGTGTTTCAAGAACTAAAATTCAAGAACTAGCCATATCCTTAGGTTAACTCAGGTTGGTGCTGGAAATCAAGATTAGGCCAAGTCTGAATCTGACCACAGCCCATGGACGTCAAGCATAACTACTAGAAGTCCACAGATGTCCTCTTTGGTTTGCCCACAGTCTTTTCCTTGTCAGCCTTTCTTCATTCCTTCACCATTTTCAAATGTTCTAGTTTATTGGGTCTTTTTCGCCACCTAGTGTTCGATTGTAGGTTATTCACACTTGCTGTTGTAACTGCATAGAAAGCCTTAGGCATTAGCGATTTTCTTCTTCCTTGTGACAATTCTGATAGATGATGATCTTAAAACATTTCTCTTGATTGTAATTTTTTCTCTTTATTTGGAAAATATACACCTAAATTAAAGTGATTTGTACGAGTCAGAGTATCTGGCACAGTGGGAAAATGGAGGTGTGTCTCATAGCCTAGCTAACTGATAAATGACTATGGTTGGAATTTCTGTTTGATTGGGGTCCAGAAGAGTACCACCCTTAGAGCATCGTTTACTCTGAGAAGAGAAGCTTAAAGGCTGCATGAAGTCCATTGCTCTCACTCACCTCCAGAGGAAACTGAAATACAGCTTCCTTGGGGTAAGAGGTGGCTGCCTCTGCTGTGGCCATGAAGAAAAACTGTTAGGGAAGAAACACTGGTTATCTGTTTTGATAAAACCAATAGGAACATCTTGGCTATTCTTGACACTTCTATTATTAACCAGAATCTTCTAGCTGCTCTTCTAAAATAAATTAGTCCTATAGGAACACCAGTGAGCTGTGACTTTGGATCCAGTTTTTGGCTGAAGGACGTGTATTTTTTGTGTTTTTTGAAATACATTTAGATAATTTCTTATTGACAAGAACTAGAAGTATAACTTATTCTGTATTATAGCTCTCTACACTGTAAGTACCCATTGGGTGTTACTGGGTTAATATTTATCAATTACATTATGTTAATATAGAAGGACTCCCCTCCGTTTTTAATTCTTCTATCATTGTCAAATATGGATGTTTGGTTTAAAATGTATACCAGTGGATTTTTTCAAAACCTTTGACAATATTGATATCAAAATAAAGAGTTGATCATAGTTGAGAACAACTAAGATTTACTCTTTATTTTGCGTCTAGAACGAATATGCAATAACCATTTCATCAATTTTATAAGACATATATTCTCAGACTAAAAGGAAAGTGGTAATTTTATATGACAAGGTGGAGAATCTCCATATTTTTATTAACTACAAGAAATAGTAGATACTTTGAATAACGACAGAGGGGGAAAAAATATTGTCCAATAAATAACAGTGACATTCTCTCTGAACTTTCAGTTTAAAATTCTATGAACCTATATGTTGGTACTTTACAGTTTTAAAGTAATTTATAAAAGTATTGATTACCTGGATGAGACCTTAGAAATAATCTAGTTACATTCTACTATTTATTGAAGAGGAAACTAAGACTCCTGAAATCAATTAACCTTTCCTGAGTTGCATAGTTAGTAACAGGGCCAGGGATAGAATTCAGTCACCTCTCTTCCAGTTCTGTGCGTAACAGTGTTTATTTCACTTTTATATATTTATTGAATTTATAAGTGCTTTTTAATAACTGCTCCAAATGGATGGATAATAGGTGACCAGTTAAATTCTCTTTAAAGTTTCCAAACCTCTCCCAGATTACAAGCCATTTAGCTTTTTGCTTTGCCCTGATTTTACAACAACTTATCATCACAAATTTTTCTGAGGTTTGTGGGTATTTTTCCTTAAACTTATTATTTTAATTCTCCAAGAGATTATTGTGCCAAGCAGTTCTTATTATATGACATGTTTTTGACCAATTTTTAAAATATTATTATTTGTTCACATAGTGACCTATGTAAATCAGAAGGATTTTTGCCACAATAAGTAGATTAATGAGATTACTCACCAGTGCAAATGGGCAGAATGGGTGGATGGATACATGGATAGGAAGGAAGGGACGGAAGGAAGAGGGAGGTAGGCAAGGATTTACAGAGAAAAAACACCACAAGCAATACTTTCTTCTGTGAAATTATTCAAGTCATACTAGCTACTTAGATCATCTTTCGGAAGTAAGGATAAATCTATTCAGATGGTTTTAAATGAACTAAGTATAAAATAATTGGTTCTTTTTTCTGTATTCCTTTATATGAAATACAACAACAACCTAGTCTACCCTAATAAGAGATAAAGCTGTTCACTGTCAAAAGAAGATAATTTATTCTATTTGAGGTTGGTCACTGAGCCTGGTTTTGTTTTGTTTTTAATCTGCTGGTAAATAGCATTTGGAATCTCCACATGAAGAGCGGGTATCCAATGCCTTACATTCTGTGGAGGTGGAATTACAGAAATTAACAGAGATTCCTTGGCTTTATTATATCTTACACCCAAATGAGGATGAGGTATGTAAAATTTGGCCTGTTGCTTTATAAATGTAGACCTTATGATGATAGAATTTGAACTTGTCTTTTAAAAAAGATATTCAGGAGAAAATGAATTTTGACTACCACTTTCAGATGTACTGATCTTGGACAAGCAAGAAAGGCTTTTATGTGAACAAAGGTATCTCATGGGAATCAGTACATTTTCAGTAGTGTATGACGTCGTGACCTTGTTTTGAAGAAGTTATCACTTCACAATGATTTGTGTTTATAACCCATTCTTATGTTATCTCTAACATCAGAGTGGATTTTTCTTCTCTTAATATCCTGAGAAAATTCTTTTCTTGCTCCACTCGAACAGGAGCCACCTATGGATTGCACCAAGAGAAACAACAGAAGCACGGTATTTCGTATAGTGCCAAAATTTAAAAAGGAAAAGGTTCAGAAGCAGAAGACAAGTTCACAGCCTGGTAGGTGATCCACACTGGAAGGGAAAGTATAACATTATGGAAAAAATAACTTATTAAAGTGATATCCTTGAGGTGATGAAAATGTTCTGGAATAGATAGTGGTGATCATTGCACAACATTATGAAGGTACTAAATGCCACTGAATTGTGCACTGTAAAATGGTTGAAATGGTGAATTTTATTTTATGTTTGCTTTATCATAATAATCATATCATATCTAAGGTAAGTCCAAATATCAGCAGGAATCTGTAGTTATGAAGCACACAAGAAAACAGGTGGTTCCTGATTTGCTTCAGCTTTGTTTGGTGGATGTCAGTGTGTCTGTTTAGAGGGTTAATTATCTTGCTCAACAGCATTTCAAAGTGTTGGCGTGTAACTTGTTTTTTTCCATCAAAGTTCAAAATCTAGATCATTTTGATAAATGGGACATAGAAACTTTCATTTACTCCTTTAGCTTGCTAAATATATTTTCCACCTAAAGTTATATCTTCTCTTCCTCCTGTTTTGGGAACTTAGTACAACATTTCAGCCCTTCAGTAATAAGAATCTGCTGTGACACTTGCATTCTCAAGCAAAGACTGAACTCTCTCTGCTGTTGTCTTTCTAGTTCCCTTTCCACCTTTCCCTAGAGATTAAATTTAATGCTGTACTTAGTGGTAAAGCACCTCCAAGTTCTGTGTGTGTGATGGTAGGTGCCTTTCATAGTCAAATCATTTTATAAATCTTCTGAGTTAGCTATCTCACTTTAAGAAGTGATATAAAATCTTATTTTTGACAATCATAGAGTGGCTACTGAAGGGCATTTCAAAACCAAATATAGCAAATAAGTAGACTTGTTAACCTAATCAATGCTGAATAAAATGTATCAAAGAATGGTTATGCATACTGAAAAATAACCATCCAGCTAGTCTTAGAGAGCAGTGTTGACAGTTTTTAGATGACATTAAATTGATTTAACAATACATTTATTGCTGTAATTATCAATAATTATAATTATCAATAGTAATAGAATCAATAAAGGCAACACTCAAAGTCAACAAGACCTGAAGCAGAATTTTGGGTAAAATTGAGTACCCCATGTCAGATTTTAAATTTCAATTAGCGTCTGTCACTAATTAAACTATAACTAGTTTCATATATGATCTTAGGGAAACCATCAGAGCTTATTTAGAACTTGTACTACTGATCTGAATCATGAGAAATACATTTCGTATGCATATTGTATAGTTTGGGTGGCTTTAAGGAGGAAATTGAGCTAAAGCTAAAGGCACCGGTGCCCAGCCAGGAATGTCTGTGTAGTCAGATCCTTGTGTTGGTTGATAGTCTATAACCTGCATGGGAATAAATGGAATTGTAGTTTTGTTGAAACAATGCCTTCCACCTTTCCCTTTGCTAGCACTGCTGCTCTACTCTGTTTTGCACTTTCTTTGGCCAACCTTTGCTTTGTGATGCATTGAGCATGTAGAAATTAAGGGGGTTTTGCTCTTAACTTTGGTAGTTCAGAAATGGGGCACAGAGGAAGTTGCTGCTTGGCTGGATCTGCTCAATTTGGGAGAGTACAAAGAAATCTTCATCCGTCATGACATCAGAGGGGCTGAACTTTTGCATCTGGAAAGGCGAGATCTTAAGGTATTTCCTTTGTGCTACTCTTCTGCTCTTGAAATTTTTCTTGCAAAACAGACTCCTTTCTCCTGTGCCTCTTCTGTTGTTTGTGTATAGCTTGGCTTATGTTATGCAGATGTGCAGTGTTCTAACATGCATTGTCCTGTGGTCTGAGTTCCCTGTATGCTTTTTAAACAAGAATGTCAGCAGTCAAAATCATTCTCTGACTATTATAGCTAGAGCTTAGCATGAACTTTGTAATTTTTCTCTGCATCCATTGGTATGGCTGTTCCTGGGCTAATATTTCCAAATGGATAATGTTTCCATCAACTCCTTTATTGGATCAGCATGAAAGGTTAAAACTGTTAGTGAAAATGACTAAAAAAAAAAATCTAATAAAAGGTAACAACTAAAAATTAATTCAAAATACCAATAACAAAGCCTTTCTAACATGTGGAACTAAATGAGTGACTTATAGCAGTGGCCACTTAGAGTCCCATGATTTTGTTGCTTTTCTACATTGACCTTTCAGAGGTCATGCAAACTAAACCAATAAATTCAAATTTCCTTTCCATGACTTATTGTTAAAATTGTATTATTCTCAAAAAGAAATTTATTATTTTCTTTAGTAAATGAAGTAAAAGTTATGCCTTGCTTTTGCTGGAAAAGCAGCTCAGAGCCTGTTTGTCGTTTATGACAGAGAAAGAAAATCATTAATTCATGGTCTGCAGCAATTCCCTTTTACTCAACAGGAGAAAATGGCCCAAGTAGCCTATTCTGTTCCAGGCTTAGGAATAGGATTTTGTCATGTTATATTTTCATACCACATGCTGCCATTTTAAAATTCCAAGGTTGATTGATAAACAAGTGACAAAGCTTTCAACATTTGTTGGAGTGATCCCTTTCCTGTAGACCAAGTTCTCAAATGCATAGAATTATGAAACAGTAAATTCCTAACCAATTCATGAACTTGTTGTGCCTTTATCTACAAATATGTTAGCAGAGATCTTTGAACAGGTAATGGGTTATATAAAGTATAGATTTTTATGAAACATAGTCATACAGTTTTAGCACATCAGAAGTAGACACCACTTATACCTAAACATTTTTAGCCATAATAATAATAAAATAATAGATTAATTAATTACTTTAGTTGAGCATCCCAAATCTGCAACATAGTAAAATATACAGTGTTAGAGTTCATAAAATAAAGGTTGACTTCAAAACTTGAAATGAATGCACAAAAAAAATAAATGTAGGGGATCATTATATCTAACATATTTGTGTAGCTTCTAATATCATTGGCAGGTAGCAATATTTATTGACTAGCTACTGATTAATATATTATGCCAGCTTCTCTAGGTGGTATCTGCCCTCTAGAAGCTTGCGTTTTGTTTGCCATGAATAAGTGTTCATTCAAGGAAAAGACTGTGTGTATATGTAAATATATATGTGTGTGTCTATAAAAATGTACATAAACATACAAATTAACACACACACAATGAGTGAAGCAAATATTTGCGGAATGAAAAAACGAAGATCATACATATACTGAGTCAAGGTTAGAGTGATAGGTCCTGGCTGGAAAAAAGAGTAAGAGTAGAAAAGGAGATAACCAGTTAAGAATTCGTTTAGTAAACTTTCTCTTTAGCTTTTCATGGGACTTTTTTGTTTTTATTTTTAATGCAAATTACATTCTCTTTCCTTTAAAACTTTTCTTTTAGAAATTTGTGTTGACATAGTCCTTTTCAACTCTTGGTTCTAAAGCAGAGTGTGGGGGAATGGGAAAAGGAATATAACTTTACAGAAAGAGCCTTCTGTAGGACAAAACTGTGAAGCTAGAAAAAGAACTCCCCTTGTTCTCTGTGGCTGTAGCTGTGAGAGGGAGCAAACCCTCAGAATAAAGTCTCCAAATGTCGGTGAAACGTTACCTATTCCATAGGTAATCTCATCAATTCCCGTTGCTTCAGATAGTGTCTGTGAATATATCAGTGGTTCACAAGGTTGTGTCTGCAGCCCTGACCTCATTTGTGAACTTTAGGATTTATCGCCACGTGTACTTGATGCTTGGCTATCCCACAGGGATGTCAATCTTAACATGTCCAAAACCAAACTTTGATCTCCTATCCCACTCCCATTCTTCCCCTTCTCCAATGCTCTACATCTTAGTAAATCATCCCTCTCTCCCTTCAGGTGTTGAGCCAGAGAAACTCAAGGTCATACTTAGCACCTTCCCCTTCCTTATCCTTTTCCCCCTAACTCATTAAGCCCATCACAAAGTCAAGTTGATTCTAATCTCCATCCATTTCTCTTTCTCCTTTCCACAATTGTGCTCTATACTACTGTCACCTGTTGCCTATGCAAGTCAGTAGCTTCCTAACTGGAACTTCCACTGCTACTCTTGCTCCCTCCAGTCCATTATCCACACTGCAACCAGGTGATATTTTAACATCAGATATATCACTTTTCTGCTTAAAACCTTTCAGTGGTTTCCCATTTCAATTAGAATAAAGACTCACATCTTTGTGAGGCCTACAAAGTTCTGCCTATTTGTTCAACTGCTATGGAATCACTGGCCCCTCGCTGGGCTATACCCCATCCACCCTGGCCTTATTTCATTTGCTTAAAAATACTAAACTCTTTCTCACCTTAGGGGTATACCTCCTATAAAAATCTCCCCCTCCCCAGCACCTGGCTAACTCCTGCTCAGTCTTGGCTCAGGTGTTACTTCCTTATCACCAAAACAACTAGAGACAGCAACGTGACAGTCTAAAGTTGGGAAAGGAAAAATATTTCTAATGTGCTTTTGCAGACAAATAAACTGCATTATTTTCCCTCTTGGAAAACAGTAGGACAAAGTGAGGGACACCAAAGAAAATGGTAAAGACACAGTGTTTTTTGTTTATTTTTTGTTTTTTCAATTTGGAAAGTTGTGTGGCTACAAGGATAACTAAATATCTACAAAGCATGCTTCTGAAAATTAGGTCTATTCATCCGAAGAAAGAAAAAGCCAATAATAAAGAATATGATAAAGATAAACTTAAGAAAGATATAACAAATGTCATGGCACAGCTTTATCCTAATCTAACTCTTAGAAGATGTGAAAATATTGAACTCAAGCTAAAGGAAATATAGCTAAGAAGTTAGTGTAATTCTATGGAAAACATTCATCTCATTACACCAAAATAGTAATTTTGAGTACAGTCTGCCTCTCCCAGAGAAGTTTTTATTCTTGAGACTATAATGTACATATGGTCTAAAATAAAATATTTAATATTAAATATATTTCTTGTTATCACACAGTATAAAGAATATTTAAATGTTCCACTCAAATCAAAGAATCTAAATGCAATAGTAAATGCATTTATGTTTCAAATGGTAGCAGGCACTGGTGACTTCCTGGAGGATTCAGCCTTGTTTTTAAGTTTGCTATTTTAGCACACACTCAGGAAATGCATCGTCGCCTTAAGAGTGATTGTGGGTGATCTGGTGTCATATGAGAAAATATTTTTCTGGGTCAGTTAAATATTATAAAAATATTACTCTGAAATTATCTCAATTTTGAAAATAGCACGGGCTATGGAAAGAGTAGTTTCCAGAAGGATTTGTAATCGTCAGTAACACTGCTGCTATAGAATTCAAAGAGCTCATAAAGTATATGGGAGACTGAGCCGGCCCCGTGTCTTAGTGGGTAAGTGTGCGTGCTCCGCTACTGGTGGCCCGAGTTCGGATCCCGGGCACGCACCGATGCACCGCTTCTCCGGCCATGCTGAGGCCGCGTCCCACATACAGCAACTAGAAAGATGTGCAACTATGACATACAACTATCTACCGGGGCTTTGGGGGGAAAAAAAAGGAGGAGGATAGGCAATAGATGTTAGCTCAGAACCAGTCTTCCTCAGCAAAAAGAAGAGGATTGGCATGGATGTTAGCTCAGGGCTGATCTTCCTCGCAAATAAATAAATAAATAAATAAACTGTTTTAAACCAAAAAAAGTATATGGGAGACAGGGAGAGTGGTGTGAGTGTGGGGGGTGTGTGTGTGTGTGTGTGTGTGTGTGTGTGTGTGGAGACAAAACAGTCTGATATATTTCATTTAAAAGTTCAAAAATAAATAATACTCTTAATTTACAAAACAGGGTAGATATTTTGAATCTTTATCTTCTCAAATAAATAATCTTGTGGTACCTTATAACCCTGTTTTCTATGCTGCTTTGGAAGTCATCTTTTTACTAATTTTTAAATATTTCAAACTCTTTTGTAAAGAAGTTATTTGATTTCACATATAAGCAGACTGATTATGTTTATTTCACTTAAAGAAGCTCTAGGGTTTGGAGGCCTTAACCTTTTCTCTTAGTTTTTCAGATAGTGAATATTCTGGCTCTTTTGGAGCCTTTCATTCATTCCTGCAAAGAGTATTCACTTGCCAAGTGCCTGCTATGTGCTGCACGCTCTGCAGTCATCATCCATGTCTGAAAGTTAAATATTGAATTCTTGGTTCTTTATAGGAAGATAGTTCTTTAAGAAACAAGAAGAGTTCTGAGGGGAAGGAGCCAAAAGTGTTTTGAGGAAAAGCATCAACCCACAGATACCTATGTTTCTGTAATGTTTTACACTTAAACGTTACAAAGTATAATGAATATTTAAATATTCCACTCAAATCAAAGACTCTAAATGTAACTACAAATACAGTTACATTCTAAATTTAGGTAGTGGGCACTGGTATCTTCCGTTAGGATTAGGCCTCACTTTTAAGTTTAATATTTTAGCAAGGAAATGTATAGTTGCCTTAAGACTAATTGTGGATGCCCTGCTGTGACATGTCAGTTTTCTCAGAAATCCCAAAAGGACCTGTGTTTTTAAAAAAAAAGAAGAAGAAAAAGGAGAAAGTAATTTTGACTCTTGAAGAACTGCCATTGTATGTAATTTATGAGAATGTTACATTTAAGAGTTTGTGTAACGTGATTCTTTACTGGTTGGTAATTTTTCAATGTCAGGCTATTTTTGTTTTATAAACTTATTTTTCTAGCTTTCACTTCCTGAATCATGGAATGTAAACTAAAAAAAATTAACTGAATGCTAATTATGTTACTTGCTAGTTAAATATTTAATCCCCAGTTTTCTCTTGTCAATAAATTTCTTTCTCTTCCTTTCTTTCTTTGTTCTTTGTCTCTTTCTACCTTTTTTTCTTTTTTTAGGACCTGGGGATACCGAAAGTGGGTCATATGAAGCGAATTCTCCAGGGAATTAAAGAGCTTGGAAGGAGTACTCCCCAGTCTGAGGTGTAATAATATTGGTGCTATTCCTTGGAAGGGAAGTAATTGCTACTTAATACGAAGGTCTTGGAAGCAATTGGCTGTTCTTGTAGTTTTCTCCCTAGATAAGTAAGCACCACTGAAGCACCTCTATGGCTTGATATTTTGCTGTGGATGAAAATTTTGATTTGAGATATTAGAAAATATTTTTGTGCCAAAAAAATACGTTCCATGAAGCCATTTTCTTATTGTGCAAACAGTGTGACATATTCAAATATGCTTTTATTAGTAAAAAGGTAGGAAGAATCTGAGACAGTGCCATGGTCTAAAAGGTAGAATTTCAAAATGTTTACTTTCCTTAAACCTGGTCAGATGGAATGTTCTTACTGTGCAACCGCATAACAGTATGTGGCTAAAACTTCTTAGGTTTCATTATTGGAAGCATTGGCTTCTTCCTTAAAATCATTGGTTAGGAGACTAAGATGTAAATTTAGTTATGTTTTGAATGTTGGATTGGTATCACCTCAGATATCTAGCACTCAGTAGTCAAAGAATATGGTTCAGACCCCTCAAATACTATGAATGAATGCAAATCTTAATGCACGATGTTTCTGCCTGAATTATCTTTCTTTTTCTTGCATGTCACATCTAATATTATAGCACTTAGCTTTACTGTCAGTTTTAATGGAATTTAATTTATTACTACGTAAGTACCTTTTTGTTGGCGAAAGGCACTTTTCTATTCTTTGATGTGGAATTTTGCATAAATATTCTGTATCTAAGAATTTGTGAACATGTGTCTGTGCCATAATCAACAAATGATATACATCTTATGCAAGCCAATTTTGTGTCAGCCTATCATAAACAGTAGGTGTGCACATTAAGAAAATTCTCTGGATATTTTCATGAAATTACATGTTCTGTTACCTAACAAAACTTAGTATGGCTTTCCAAACTGAAATTCCCACAATTTATTCCTAGTGCTCATTTCAATTTAATAATTATTTAATACTCTGTTTGCATTTATAATATAGTAGACTGTTGACTTCCAGGAAGTTCCCCAAGGTCTCAACCGGGATATCTGTACCGATTGGTCACCCAGACTCACACACTAGCTAAAGTAACTCCTGACACAAACTTCCCAACAGAAGAGATTTAAAATTTTTCTTAAGGGCTTTACATCATTATTATTATTATCTTACTTAATTCTTATATCCTATCAGGTAGATATTATTTTTCTTTTTCTAAACCACTGTACGTCTGTGTAACTCATTAGGAGTCAACATTACAATGATCAAATATTTGAAAGCCAAAGGCATACATATCAAAAAGTCACAAAAATATCCTTAAATAAGCTTTCTTTAAACATTATATACCAAAAAAAAAGTAGTTATAATATTGAAAAATCTTCTATATAAGAGAAATAAACAGGGTACTGACCCAGTGGTGACAATTTTCATAAAGTAGCCTTCTAGGTAGGTGCTCAATAGAAACACATACACACACATATATACATATACACATATATGTGTACATACACACATATACATTTATATGTATATTCACACTTACATACATATAGTCTTGAGATATACTCTCATTGATATTTTCTAGACAATTATTTGCCAAATGCTTAAAGAGAAATATCGATGGGAAAGCATTTAAAATGAACTATTGTAAGATATATACTTTAATTCTATGGAAGGAGTTTAAATATTTGACACTTTATTCTTATTTATAACTTGGTTATTTAACTACTAGTAAAATCACAAAATTTGGATATATTAAAAATAAATGAACCTGATGGGTTCCTGACCAAGTGTGTTTGACTATATAGTTTACCTAAGTTGTGAATAAATGGAAGTTTTCCAAAGGGAATTATATCAAGTGGCTTAAAAGAGTAAAAAGCTACTCACTTAATAATTTTAATGGTACCCACACCTATGAAATCAAAGGTCTTCATTTCCAGCTCCTTTTCTAGTCCCCACCTTGCAAGGTCTCCTGCTCTTCCAAGCGCTTCCCTGGGAAATCAGAATAGGAGGTGCCAGTTCGCAGAACTCTGCTGAGATCGCAGATCCCTGTCAGCTCTACTAAAAGAAGAAAGGCGGGGGGCAAGGAGGCGAGGAGTCTAGAGGAGAATGAATTAATATAAAAATCCTCATTGATTTTCACTCCTCCAAAATACCCCTTTGCCAATAGAAAAGATTCTCAAGCTATTACATGTTCAGAATCTAAGAGTAAGATGTAAATGATTGAGTTTTTTTGTTTGATGTTGATCTTTCACTCTTAGGTAACGTTGTCTTATGTATGCTGTAAAACCTCACTTAATGGAATCCTCAGTTAGCTGGAATTTTCCTGCGAGTGGCTTTTGGGTGAGAGAAATCCTTTAAAGTGACAATTCTGATATCTTTTCTTGTTAAATGAGAGCAATTTTTCCTGTATACTTTGTCTAGCATGGCTGTATAGCGCCCAAATGACTTCATTCACATCTGTTTGCCAGGACTGTGCCCTCAGAGCCTCCTTAGGGCCCTGTCAGCGTCACAGAGGAACCAGCTTCTTAGAGTAGGTGGGGTTACAGAAAAGGGAAGAGCTTCTCCATGGGATCTGATCGCAGCTCTGCGGCGTGCAGGTGGGGCCTCTGTGCCTTGAGCACACAGACTGAGCTGGGAAGCTCAAGCCTGCTCTTGATAGCCAGCTGTAATTGTCACCTTCCCTCCCCACTAGGCTCTCCCACAGCTTGATAATTCACTCAGGCCTAAGTAAAATTTTGGAGTGCTCAATTTTTCTCTTCGGTGTCTTTCCACCTCTCTTTCTGAGTTCCTTTTCCACTTCCTGGCTTCCTATTTTCCCACATGCCCAGTACAGCGGTGGTTGCTCAAATTCTCGCTGCCGTGTGCTACCCTTTCCTCATCAACTGTCACACTACAAAATGATTCCTTTCATCTTTCCCCACCTTAGCACCCATTGTGGGTCATCTAGTGAAGTGTTAGGAAGAAAACAATTTAAAGAAACTAACTTTACATTTGCATTTTATAAAAGGAAACTTGTTAATCTAAATGAATTGATGGATTAGATAATTTGGGGACTGTGATATATATTGCTCTGGCTGAAAGGAGGTGACCCGTGAATATCTAGATCTGTGCTGTCCGATATTGTAGCCACTGGCCACATGTGGCTATTTAAATTTAAATTAATTTAATTAGAAATTTAATTTCTCAGTTGTGCTAGCTACATTTCAAGTGCTCAGTAACCACAGTGGACAGTACAGATGTTGAACATTTCTGTCATTGCAAAAATTCTACTGGATAGCAGTGGTCTAGATCATTATTACTCAAAATGTGGTCCATGGACCAGCAGCATCCATATCACCCGGGAGCTTATAGAAATGCAGAATCTCAGGTCCACTCCAGACCTACTGAGTCAAAATCTTCCTTTTAACAAGATTCCCTAGGTTATCAGCATTGGTCTAGATTTGTTTTATCCCTCCTAGATACTAGGAATCTGAGGTCTTCAAAAGGTCCTCAGAATAGCTCACTCCTCAACCCATTGTTTCCTATCCATTCTCCAGCTAATCCTAGAAATGGGGATTTCTCATTCATTCATCACCCTAGCTGAGTTTTCTTCTCAATCCTTATTCCTAATTCTGGTTCTAGATGAGCCCTACCTACCCAGTGGTTATATTTTCGTAGCTAAGGTGGAACACAGGAGATTCGCTGACCAACACAGCTGGCCTCTCTTCAACCCCTCATCCCATGTTTAAGTCACTATCTATCTACATTTGCTCCATTTGTTGTTTGTGTGGCATTCTCGTTTGTTCACAACTTAAGTCACAGGGAAAATTTCAGAAGAATATGTACTGAGATAAGTAAAGACTGGGTCAGTCTCCTACAACTTGTACATTTTCACTTTCTCTTTATCTCTTATCAGTAGATTATCCTGTTGACATAGTTCATGCTTGAGAACATACAGCAGCACACACACATTACATGAATCATTAGGCATATAAGAAAAAAAAAAAAGAACCAAAATGATTACAAGTAAAGTGAATGTATTGTTAAAGCCCTCAAAGAAAGCATGTTTTGCTAGACTAAGATCTGTTTTTCTTATTATGCTAACTTATCTTGATTTTCAGTTAGTTAATCATTCATTAAAATAGTGCTTGAAAAATAATATATCATATTCTTGACCCTCAAAATACAAATTATTTAATTCTATAATAAGATCTTTCCCAATGACTTACTGTCAATAATCCTTCACTTAATAATTTTTACATACTGATATAATTTACCGAAACATTACTGCCTAGAGATTCTTGAGCTAATTTTCGTGAATAAAGAGGGCACTACTTTAGTCTTCATGGAAGTTGTTTTTAACAGGAATTGAGGAAGGAACTATTCATGCAAAAACTCCCATGACTTAGAAAATTATAGTGGAAACCTCTATATGTCATTTTTAAAGTAAATTATCTATTATATTTGACTGAGCTGACAACATAATGGACTTTCACTTATACAGATATGAATTCTTTAAGGATATAGCTTTTCATTAAGCTATAAAAGCATTGCATCTCTCAAGCTTGACGTCTAGGATCTCTCCTACCACTTTCCCCCAAAACAGACTCATCTTGCATTTTTCAGATGCAAGTTGAATAAAACAGTGGGTTTAGAGATCGATGGTACAAGTGGCAGTTTTAAAGCACCGAATTCTTTAAATCAGCTGAGAAGAGTGAGAAGTGAAGATTTCTCAAATCCTATCGGTCAATGGAATAGCCTCCCCGAACGGTTTCCACAGTGCCTGGCTGCCTGCCACGCCTCTCTCTCCTCTCACTGCCCCACGCCAAGTGCCACGGGGCCTGGGACTCGTTTGTCTGCTATGGCATCTCCACAATGACTTTTGCATAGCAGTCTCTTTGTTAGGTGGGTAATGTGTTGCCTTTGCAATAGGATGCCTTCCTAAAGAAACAACCAGAACTTTAAAAAGGCGATGATTATTGGTTTTTATAATACGCAAAGCATTAATTTTTTATTTTTATTATTGTTTTCTCTTTGTTATTTTCTCCAGGTTTTTTTTAGAGATATTTCTGTTAGAAGAAAAAACTATAAAGGTGTATCATTATGGAGAACAGAGAGATAAAAGACAGCTGGACTGTACCTATTTGTATACTCCCTTCTATTATTTTCAGGAAAAAAAGTTTAACAGAGTAACTGAGACTGCACTAAACTCAGTAACGGGGTTTAAGAAAAACTCATATTACTAATATAGGTGAATATATTAATTCCCTTTATGTAATTAAGATATTCTACTTACATATATTTATATTCTCTCAATTTTTTTATGCACTTCCAAGTTTTAGTTGGAAAGATAGAAACCAAGCCACTACTTAAAAGTTATAAAACTCCACATAGAATACTTCATTTTAGCTACAAGTTATTCATTGTATAGGAATTTATAAATAGTCTGGGTATTTCATAGGAACTGCATTTCAAGAGTAAATTAAGCAAACCTAAAGGAACTTAGGGTTACTTTTAAAATGCGTTAAAATAAGTTTCATACTCAATTGATAATACCATTGGAGTAGGATAATGCAGTTAGATATACAAGCT